TTGGGCTGCAAGCAGCTGCAGTGCGGGACATCGGGTGTGGGTGGGGCCGCTTCCCTACCCCCCCACGCTCCTCCTTTGCCTGGGGTCCCCCCCTCTGCCCCCCCCCACTTACCTGAGCTTCCCCCACCAGGGCAGCCACATGCTCCCAGCCCAGAAACCATGGCTGGGGCTTCGAACTGGGGGGCCCTGCTGTTGTGGGAGCCTGCCAGGTTTCCCCTGGGTGCTACTGCCCTTGGTTCCTGTCATTTTTTACAGGAACCAAGGGCAGAGAAATATTGATTTTCTACATTTTTTTACAAGCCCCGCAGGCCGGATAGAATGGCCTTGCAGGCCGTATTTTTTCCACCCCTGCCCTATGCTGTCATGGCCCCAAGATCCTGATCCCAGTCCTGGGAGTTTTGGTGAGCTGTTGCAAAAGGGAGGGGCGGGGGGGGGAATGGCGGGATGACCTGGCTTGCAACAGCTCATCAAAACTCCCTAAGTGGCCCTCCAGCCCAAATAATTCCCAACCCCTGTGTTAGGGTATCATTTAACATTAGTCTGAAAGGCAGAAAACAAATCTAATTAGGCTCCAGCTTGGATGTTTTTGATAAAACATTTAATTTTGGAATTTTAGTACAGTGCCAAAGCAAAGACATGCTTTATAACTCAAGGGAAAAAATTTGTGAACTATTAAAAGCATTAGTGATTCAAGCATAATCACTTCAAGTCAGTGACTTAATACTTACTTGGTTGTTTTTTTAAAGTGAGAGTACGCTGGTTGGTGTTCAACCCAATTTTTTTTTTTTAATACAAATGAGAAAGACATACTCAGCAAGATCCTGTTTGTTTGAAGAATAGAAAGTTACAGCAACATTTATAGCACTGTTGAAACAAGTTTTCCATTTGAATGGGAAAATTTAAGGATATGAAATTTTTTGTCATGAGACTGACACTGAGAGGAAATGTTACAGCACTCTGCCACCCACAAATGAAACAGAATTAAAAATAATCAATTCACTACTGAAATGGTTGAGGAAGTCATTCAACATTTTCTCAAACTGACTGTAAGCTAACCAAAGGAGAAGCTCTGAACCTTTGATTCAGATTTTGTGAAGTATGTGCTTGCTATTCCTTTTCTCCTTTTGGAGGTGTGCTTTCCACAGGACTAGAGATATTTAATGAGAAGCTCAGAAAAAAAATATGAATGTTCCATTTTCTGTCAATCTTAGCAGTAACGAATTAAAAAAAAAATAATGTTCCTGTGGTGTAGTACCCAGATTAACACCCAGTCTAGTAATAATAGCTTACATGATTTATAAAGCATAGAGTTATCTTTTCGGGAGACAGTATGATCTAGTACAGTGCTTCTCAACCTTTTTAGACTCAAGGCACCCACCTTAGACTCAAGGTACCCTTGGAAAATGCCAGCTGTTAATTTTCACTCATTTTTTTTATTACAGAAAATCAAGAGCACTTCTGCTGCAGTGCGGGAAGCCACATGGTAGGGCAAGTGGTTGTGGGGGAAACAGGAGACAGACAGTAGGGGGAAAGTGGTGTGGAGGAAGGCAGCTTACCCCCAGCTGCCTGTCACCTCCCTACTTACTCCACTTTCTGCCTGCCCCCACCTTGCCTTGGGGCCTCCCCTCAGCCTTTGCTTCTTGCCAGCCCCCTGCCCCTCCTCCCTACCATTGCTCTAGTGCCAGCAGGTTCTGTGCCTACTCTAGTCTGGGACATGGAGCCTGGCCCCAGCCGAGCCCTGTAGCAGCAGTGCTGGCTCTGAACTGCTGTTAGAAGGCTGGGCTGGGGCCAGGCTCTGTGCCCCAGACTGGAGAGGGGACAGAGCCTGCCAGTGTCAAAGCAAGGGTGAAGGAAAGATGCAATGATAGAGACTTCAAGGACATTGCAAAATGGGTGGGGTTGGGGACCTGAGGCTGTGGGGAGAGGATAGAGAGGGGCCAGGAGGGGTGGGTGTGAGCACCCAAGGCAGCAATGGGGGGGAACAGAGGGGGGGAGGCAGGGGGTACAAATGCAGAGGGTACAAATGG